GCCGGTGCCTGCCGCTGTGAAAATACATGACCAGTGTATGTAGTTGCTCCACCCGGGTCCTTCGAAAAAATTCAATTGAATAATCAACTTTTGTCGAGCAGAGTGGTGCCACCAGGGTCACACACAGCTCCAGTTTTGGTCTGTCCTGCTGAAATTCAAGCTGTGTGTTGCCGGCTTAAAGGGAAATTCCACTTTTTTTTTTACAAAAATAATAAATGTGCACATATTCATAAAATAAAAATGCGCATTTGTTCGTTTTTTGTATTGAAGTCAGTAAAGCATTGCAATTATGACCAGTGGATTGTGGGTGCAATGCTCTGACTCCTGCAGATTCTCCCTTCAGTCTAAGTCTGTATCAAGGTATGGTCATTCAGTAACAGGGAGGAAGAATCAATGTACTACAAGGGCAGTGATGTCACCACACTTGTATTTCATTGAGAACTACAAGTTCAACCGCCATAGTAAGAGACAGGACTTGTAATTTCTCTATTCACAGATCCTTTGACAGTATGCAACTGTTTGGACAGAGCCATGAACGAACCAAGCCAGCTTAAAAAAACAGCAGCAACCTACGGAGAGAAGAACCCCGTTATTCAGGCAAGTGGGGGCTGGGGGGGATGGCAATGTGACCATGTTTCATGTTACAGTCTGAATATGGTATAAAGGTAAACTTGGCCTCAACAAACAAGCTCCCAATCTAATATCCCAACCATACTCATGGGAGAAATTGAGAGGAGAGTTAAGCTATCAGCATGTTTTTGGTTTGTGGGATGAAACCCACACAAACAGAGAGATGGCACAGAAACCCCACACACATCATCCTTAGACTAAATTAGATTCCAAACCTACAGCAGCAATACAAGAGTGTAAACTTCTTAAGCTGTCCATAGGCAACTCCCATTTTGACCGATTCCAACTAAATGAACCAAAATTCGACTCATGGGTGGCCCTGTCAATTCAACAAAAGTCAATATAAAAATTGACTGAGCCGGGTGGAAAATTATTGGCCCGATGGTGACTGCGTCCTATCAGATGCACTCACTGTTCGGGTATTCAGACACCTGCAGCTACAGGGGCCGTCTGAATACAACAGCTGGCACTGGAGATTCCTCCATCCATTCTGTTTAGAGGAGGAATCTATTGATTGTCTCTCGTTTGTTTAATGAATCTGGCTTTGTATGGCTAGCATTAGTCAACATGTTTTTTTAAAGGAGCAGGTGAGTGCTCTCTTCCTGATCCTATTGCTGGTGATTTCAGGGAAGGCAGCTGAGCATAGAGAAAAATATCAGTCATTGGTCTTATAGGCATAAAGTTGCCTTCTGGGCATTTTGTTCTAATACTTATACACATGATTTGATGTGAAACCATTCAAATATTAATACTTGTGGCATGTGTGAAGGTTTATTTCGGGACTGTGATTCTCAGACTTGTTCTAACAGGTTGATAATAACTAAGGTAAATTTGGGTGGGGTGGAATTGTTTGGCTCTAATTTTTAGCATCTTATAAGAAAATGCAAGATGATTAAGTATTATACTACTATCATTTATTCCTCAGAACTAATAGTCTACAAATCATAAGAGCTCGGATTGATGTCAGAAGTATAGTAAAAAATGTTTTCAGTTTTGTAAAGAGTAGAGGACAGGGAGAAATTCTCCAAATGTGCTGGATACTCTACTTGAATGTCCCCTGACCCTAATGCAATAAAGTTGTAACTGGACTATTTGAATTGATGTGGCGCTTAAGTTTCACCATTTTCTATGTTTTAACTGTTGTCTGTGACTCCACAGGATAGATGTGCCCCCACTTCCTGTCCCAGACTAGGGATGAGCCGAGTGTCGGCTCATCGACAGTTTGAGCGTTTGACGAACGCCGAACTTTATGGGATGTTCACAGTTTGTTCAACCGCGGACATTCCATAAGCAAAATGCCCTCTGAAGCTCTGATTTGTTAAAGTCTTGCACCTGACCCCCCCACAATTTTAGGGGTGAGGTTCCTCCTTAAAATTCCTAGCAGACCTTAAGGGCCTGGTATGACTTTAAGGGGGAACCCCACACACTTTTTTTTGTTTTTGTTACATGGGGTCCCTCCTAAATATTCCTACCAGACCTTAAGGGCCTGGTATGACTTTAAGGGGGAACCCCACACACTTCTTTTTTTGTTTTTTTTGTACATGGGGTCCCTCCTTAATATTCCTACCAGATCTTAAGGGCCTGGTATGATTGGTCCCTCCTAACATTGGTCCCTCCTAACATTTCTACTATTGTTTGGGAGGGGGAACTGCACACTTTAAGAGAAAAAAAAAAGTCTTTTTTTTTTTAGAAATGTCAGTTTTGCTGCAGCAGGTTCCATACATCCTACAGATCCGCCACTTCACAGGCAGGTTAAGGGGACCCCCCAGGCATGATATTTGAAGGAATCTTTCATATATTTTTTTTACCCTTTAAGTAATGTTAAAATCTTTGTTCCTTTAAAAACTGTATTTTTGTTTTTTTGGCATTGATTCCTGTCCCTAGGTCAGTACCCGGACCCCCATACACCATTTATGGCCAATGACTTGCATATAAGCCCTCTTAAAGGGGACATTCATTTTTGAACGGTCGACCCCCATTGACTTACATTGAGTTTGAGTTCATATTCAAACTTTTCAGCCGTTCGAATGTTCGAATACGAACCGAACACAGGGGGTGTTCAGCTCATCACTATCCCAGACCACTGTCTGAGAAAAGAAGTGAAGGGACAACATCCCTCAATAGGGACAAAAACAACAGATTTGCACGGTTGTGCATTACCTCCAGGTCTGGAAAAACAAATGGATCAAAGCTCCGTTTCAATAGACCTGACCGGGCCAGACTGGAGGTAATCTGATGTAAACGGACACATATCCATTTACATCCGATTTCCCATAGACCAACACGGGTCCGGTAATTTCATTTTTTCCTTCATCACCTAGCCCAAAACTGTCATATGTATGGACAAACATGTTTGTGGGCGACGCGGGCATGGTCTAGGTGGACCTTTTTGTGTGGAACTTTTTGAAAATAATAATATTTAGGTGCTGCAACCCTTGGGTATTTAACTATACATGAAGGACCATATGGGTAGGTCCTAGTTGTGTGCATTTTTGAAGACTGAAGGAGTGCAATCAACCCAGATTGTTTATTAGCATAGATATCTATACATGAGACCAAAAAGAGGGACAACTGAGGAGGGAGGAAAGAGGGACAGAAGGATATGGTTCCTAAGTCAAACATTATGAGGATCATTTACTAAGCTGCCATAGGTAGCCGAGTGAATTACCGAGCCGAAGTGAAGAGAGCCGAATGGCATTCGGCTATTCACTTCTGCTCTGTACGGCTGATTTCAGCCGTACATCAGCTGCCCTTGGCTGCCTTCGGTCAGCCTAACATGCTCGGCTGAGCCGAAGTGCAGAAGCTGTTCACCGCTCAGCTCTTCGACTGATCCGAAGCTCCGGCAGTTCACTTGCTGCCATTCACCCCTATTCTCATAGGGGCGGAACGGCAGTGAGTGAATAGTCAAATGCTGCTGAGCCGAGGGACCCCAAGTTAAAAAAAAATTAAAAATGAGTGGGGTTCCCCACAAAAGTCATACCAGGGCCTTTAGGTCTGGTAGGAATTTTGAGGAACCACACCTCCAAAAATGTGGAAAAAAACATGGGGTACCCCCTAAAATTCCTAATCAGGAGAGGGAGGGACAATTTTCAATTGAACAAAAAACAAAACAAAAATCTTTGACAAGTCCTTTAATAAAAACAAAATCCCCAAAATTGTTCCAACGACGTAATCTAGGGTCAATCCAGGGATGTCCAGTGTTGTCCACGACGACGACTCGGTGAAATAAAAAAATAAAAATAATAACTATATTAACACGATGAACTCCCGCCACAGAATGATATTCTGACAGATGCTGGCAAAATATAAACAATTGAGCGGAGCTCGCTGCGACACTAGCTCCGCCCAACTGTTTACATTTGTCCATCACCTGACCGTCTGCCCGCAGGTCCTGGACAAATCAAAACAAATGGGCGGCGCCAACCGTGATGTCACGGCTGGCTATGCCCAGTTTTTGTCATTTAATGACAGCACACTAAAGTCAGCAGTCAAATCTTAAAAAATTAATTCAAGTACCTTAACTATTAACAAAAAACATAGCTTATTTGTGTATCACTGAGCTGTAGATCCTAAAATCATCTCTGAATTGGTGGTGACTCTGTCCTTCCCCATGGAGGGTGGCTACTTTTGTTCCCTATGGTCCCTGTGTGTGTTGTAAAGTAGTCACCGCTCCAAGCTCTCTCCCATGGTGGACTACAATCTCAATACAAATTAGTAAACTAAACATGAGATTGTACTCCATCACAGGAGTGAGCTTGGAGCAATGACTACTTTACAACCCACACAGGGACCATGGGGAACAAAAGTAGCCACCCTCCAGAAGGAAGGACAGTGTCATTATGAATTCAGAGATAATTTGAGGATCTACAGCTGATATACAAATAAGTTACAGTATTGTTAATAGTTAAGGTACTTGAATGTGTTTTTAGGATTTAATACCTGAGTTTAGTGTCACTTAAATGTTCATTTAGTCATTCTACAGTGAACGTGCACTGGTTTTTTTTTTTATTATTAAAAAAAGCAAAAGAAACAAAAAGAGCCCCAAATTAGAAAACATAATATAACATTATATAAAACATAATATAATAAAACATAATGTCTCTGCTGAGGGAGAGTCCAGTGTCAAAAATGCAGTTTCTACGTACAGTCAATTCCTTTGTAGTTGGAGATAAATTGTCAGTGAACAGTTTCGACACCACAAAATCAGGATACGGTTAGGTTTTATTCAGTGCAAGGCTTCATGAGTAAAGATTGCAGAACACTCTGTGAGTGTGATGAGGAGTATGGAAAGGGTTAGTTGGCTGGCCAGTAGGCTGAGCTATGTTCATTTAGTTCCTGAGAGCAGAGCAGTAAGTTTGTGGCCAAACAAATGACATCTGGACAGAGGGAGGGAAGTCAAGGAGAAGGAGGGATTCGCTGTAATTCCCAGTCTACGCTCTGCACTCAGCCAACAGCAATCCCTCACTACACACAACACAGAGGAGAGCTGCTGTGTTATCATCAGCACAAAAGAGGAAAAAATACACAACTTCCCATCACTCAGTTATGTTGGAGGAATCCATGAAACGGTGTTGCTACAAGCACGACATGAAGTAACAGAGCAAACTGCTGCACAATACAGAAGTCAGCTAAGAGTGACAGGAAGGCAAGATAGGACACAACTGGATGGTAAGTCAAGAATACAAACTTCTGCATGGCTGAGATTTTTTCTAAAGCTTGACATTGGTAAAATGATGTCATTGCAAATATAGAAAAGGAAATCATTGTGGAAGCTGATTGCATGTTTGAATCTGCAACAGGAACAACTTTTCCCGGATGGGGACCAGATCAAAAATCAGATATCATTGCATTTAAGGGCTCATGCACACGGCTGTAAAAATGCTGCATTTTTATTGGTACATCGTTTTTATCTTTGCTGAATGCAGCTCTATTGTTTTCTATGGGTGTAAGGATCAGTAGGATCAGTTAACTTTGTCGATTTGTTCAGATCCATCAAATCAAAATAGAAAAATCTGTGTCCCAGGTCATTCCTTTACGCATGCATTCATATAAACATGTGTAAATGCATGTACATGGTCAGGTAATTGATCACTGCCTAAATCAAACCTAGTATGTGTGTATGAATGTGAGATAAGGACCTTAGATTGAAATCTCCTCGAGGGCAGGGACTGATGTAAATTTACAGTATGTAGAGCGCTGTGTAAATTGATTGCACTATATAAAAACCTATAATAGAAAAAGATAATAAAATAATACATGCGTACATGTGAAAAAATTTACTGGAAGTAGAACTTTAAATATCTAAAGGCGGTATGGACGTTTAGGGCTTGTTCACACCAAATGCAGACCAGATCTGATGAGCTTCTGCACATGCAGTGCAGTGTGTTTTGCCGTGTTTTTGATGCATTTTTGACACATTCCGAATGCACTGAAAATGGGCTTTCAGTGCATTCCAGGGCATTTACATTTGTTTTTTTGATGCATTTGCATGCGTTTTGGTGCGTTCCAGAGCAAAAAAAATAGGACATGCTGCAGTTTTTCCACATGCTCTAGAACTGAACGCTTTGGTGTGAACTTTGAAATACATTGGATGCATTTTTGATGCGTTCTGTAACTGCTCTGCTCTGCATCCGCTCTGTGTTTGGTGTGAACAAGCCCTGACACATCTATACATATGTACATGCAAGCACTTTGCAGACCATTTCATGCGTTTTTTTTACGCAATATCTTTCTACCAGCAAAATCCTGTGTAGATGATTATAATGCTCTCATTATGGCCGTATGCATGGAGCCTTCTAATGTAGCAGTGATGGTTTATGCAGGGCCGGCCTTCGGGGTGTTCGAGCTGTGTGTATGCATCATCTGATCACTCCAGTGTTTGTAAAAAACTGGGGACACAGTGTTGTGTCCCCAGTTATGAATAAACAGGATGTGATTTACATCACTTCCTGTTTATTCATGAATTTCTGAATGGGTAGTAGCACTCACTATAGAGGCTCCTCCCAATTCAGAAACTGGTGATAGTAAATATTTTACTATCATCAGTTTCTCAATGAATGGGAAGCCTCTGTACTGAGTGTTCTCCATTCATTTAGAACAGAGGCTGCAGAAAAAGAAATTGAGGACTTTGTGTCCTCAATTTCTTTTTCTATTTAAAAAGGGAAATGGCAGGGGTCTGTTTAGACCCCCAATATTTCCCCAAAGCCCCCACAACAGTAAAAAAAATAATAAAAAAATGAAAATAGAAAATAAAAGCCCCACACCGCTCTGCCGGACTGTGATAGGTGGCTGAGCGGTATGGGAGGAGAGACGCCGGCCACTCACAGCGCTCTCGTCCTGCAGCGCTCGGCCGGCTGTCACTTTCTTTTCTCCCCGCTGGAACAGCGCCCAGCGGGGAGAAAAGAAACCAGGGATGCGCCGATGCAATATGCCAAAAGTGCCATTTTCGTCCGATATGTTTCGGCGGCGATATATCGGTGCATCCCTACTAAAAATGTTTTCATTCATTTCATCAAACAAAACACATTTTTATGCTATTTTGGATTCAGCCACTGGCGTGTTCTGGAGGCAGGGCGCATGACGTCATATGACACCGCATGTTTTGAGCGCCACCATCTTGGTGTATATCTAAGTATACACCAAGATGGCGGTGCCTATATCGGCGTGTGACGTCACCTGACGCCGTGCATGCATGGCATCATGTGACGTCATGCTCCCCGCCTCCAAGATGGCGGCACGCATTCGCAGAACGCGCCGGTGGCCAACATGGCCGCCGCGCATTGTCAAACAAATGATGTGCCTGAATACAATTTTCGTATATTCGGGCATATAGTAATTAATTTAACATGTGGTCTAGGTTTTGTGTTCTGTTTTTTATTTTTACTTTTCTAGATGCACTTACTTGAAGAAAGGGATCGGCATGACAACCTGACACTTTATTTTTATAGACTCTATTTTAGTTTGACATTTATTGTTTACCACTTGTTTGCCTACTGTTGTTTTATTTAATAAGAATACTTATATTGTGTCTACAAGTTTAATAGCGTTGAATAAAAATGTTATTTTTATCATACTTTTTAATATGTTTATTTGGGGAGGCTTTAAATGGTGCAGGTATAGGAGAAAGGGGTTTGGTTACCGAGGGGTGTGGTCACTGAGGGGCACTGTAAAGCTTTCTCACACAGGGCGCCTAAAGGCCTAAGGCCGGCCCTGGGTTTATTGTAAAAGAATTGTGGAAGTGTTGTCCATTCCATTCATGCAGTTATTGCTTGACATTCTGTATTACAGAATAGAATGTTGCTATGGGCAACAACCTTGTCATTTATCTTCACCAGTTACATAAAGTCGCCTTGATATAGCATTCACACGTACAAACTCATCAGGGGCTGTGCTTGTCAGAGTCTTGTTTTTCAAAGGTCAGGTCATTAGGATGATCTGCATATTCAGAGGAATGCAATATGTTGTATTTTTGTGTGCCTCCTGTAGAGTTAAAATTGCTACAGTATTCAGAACAAGCAAACTTTCAGCAAACAAGCAAAGTGTTATATTCCTAGAGAAAGGGCCGGCCCATTATTCATGTCAGTAAAATAAGTTTGCAGTATGATAGGAAAAGAAGTATGAAAAGGAATAAAGTTTGTAAAAGTAGTGTCTGAGTCAGATCAACCCTGGCAGCTTTTGTATTTGCAATGGCAATGCTACTAATGTTATTATATTATTGATGCTATTTCATGCTGTTGTAAAATAAATGAGTATTTAGGTCATAACATGGGGTATGGAAAGCAGTAAGTAACATCATCCAATCACACATCAGTCTTCAGCTGTCTAACTACATTGGACATCTGTTACAAGTGTAAAGCCTGATGTACACTGGCAGATTTTTGAATGTTCTCATCAGAACCTTCAATGATGCCATCAGAGACTTGAAAGAAGTTGCCCAAAATGTCCTTTGGTTTTTACAATTAATTTTGGAATGAATGGAATTTCTTGAACCAAAACCACATTCACATTTAGAATTTTGTTCATTTGAAAAAAAGCTTTCCATCCTGCATTGAATTTTTTTTTGTCACTACGTTTAAAATGAATGGTCGATTTGACCCCATTAACTTTTAGAAAATCAAACGAATGTTCCGAAAGCAATTTATTTCAAACAAAAGTCTACTTGTGTGAGCCAACTTTAGGCTGCATTCACACCTCTGCATTCTTGTTTGATTCGTTTTCCAATCAAAATGCATTGCAAGCTTTAAGAAAGTGGGTCAATGTGCAACATGATGCCTGTAAATGCCTCATGGTACAGCTACACATGTCGATGCTTGTTATCATGCATGTTGACATTCAATTCAAACATGCATACATTAAAAATGTGGGACTATGTGCGATAATGTGCGTTGACATTCCGTTTTTTATGTGTTTCTATTGATTTCAAAGGAAAATACATCAAGGGTGTGAATCCAGCCTAAGGTTAGGATGGGTCCTGCACACAATTTTCTTTGCACTGTGTTACATGAGGGCACTTTTCCAAGACCTGGTCCGCTGGCAAATGGGAGCAGGGAAGAGCCAGCAAGGGTAAAGTTGGCAACTCCCAGCTGTCATGGTGTCAGTCGTGACATACAGTATGTGTACTCAGGGTTTCCAGACAGCTGCAGGGAGTGAAAGAACATGATTGTCACATACAAGGACTACAGTGCTTCAGGCACAGGTGACCAGCCAGTACATGAAAAAGTTACAAAGCTCTTACTTTCAGTGGCTGTGAGTTGCCTGTAGATTTTCAAGGTCAGATGGAATATGTTTCCACCTTAAAGCATAACATTACAGTAGTATATGTGAACATAATAGCTAAATAGTGATATAGAGGTCCTATTTCCTATACAGCATTACAGCCAATGATGTGATAGAAAGCAATGGATAAAGTAATTCTCATACAGCATCTCTTCTGACAAATAATGAAACACATCAGTGTTGTCTTGTAACTGAAATGTTAACTGTTTGTGTTGTCCCAGAGCAACCTATCAGATTCTTTCTCAATCTGAAAAATGACAGTTGGGGAATAAAATTAATAATCTGGTTGGTTGCAGTGCGGCATACAAACAGTTCTCACTTCACTTTGATAAACAAGAATCACATTATTATTAGCATTGGTGACTGCTTGTTTATTGAGCCAAAACTGGGAATACTTGTGCAGTACCAGCAATGCCAAATTATACTGAGAACAGACTTCAGTGTTAGTCCTTGCTGCCCCTGGACAGGCTTCATCATCACCAGCATCATCATTAAAATGCACTGCAGCACACACGTCTGACACGTATATCTGGGGCTTGCGTGTGAGAATCTGAAAAGGATAACTAAACCTATAATTATCCTAAAGCTCGTCACACACATTACAGTCTGATTTTACAATCTCCTTTCAATCTACCACCAACTTTGTAGTGCAAAGACCTGCCTGATTGGATGCAATTGATTGGATAGATTAGGTAGGTCTTCATATTACATATTGGTAAATCTAAAATTGATTGTACAAAGATTCTTCAGCCAGATTGTAACACGTATGGTGACTCTGACACCTTCATGCCCCTCCTTTCATTAGGATAATTATAAGTTAATTCTCTTTTATTTCCTTCAGACAAGCAGGCGACTTGGTCCAGGAGCTGTGGTCTATGCCACATGGTTCTTCAGTG